TTTTAGGGTCAAAATTGGCAGATTTGCTCTGTCTGGAGGTGACGGTCCTAATATCAATGTTCACAAAAAATGTAAATATAAATGCAAATAAACAAACTAATTCATATTCTGCCAATTAGGATTGAACAGGCATACTCAGACTGCATTTAATTTTTTTTTAACTTAAAAATGTTTTTTTCTACAAATTGTAACATGCCTGTCTTGTGATTTTGTGTAATGACCGTTACCAGTGTATGAAATTCCTGCAATAATTTCCCCCAGGAGCTATATTGTAATTCTACTTCCTGTGTCTGCTTGAGCTAGCCCCTGTGCATGTGACAGCAGATGAAATAAAGAGATTCAACACATTTTGCAGAAATTGACACCATCAAATAAGTATAAATGTTATGTGTCAACCTTAATTGTCCAGACCGTTACCAATGTATTTTGTGTCAAATATATCTCTTTTTTTTTTTAATTTCAATGGATATGTTGCCCAGAAATGGAAGAGGTGGAAGGCATGTCCTTTGAAATCTTTTAGGGATCATTCATTTTTTTATTTTAGATTTACTTACAAATTGTCTTGAACCGTTACTGTCCAAACCGTTACCATTCTGCAAAGTAACGGTTTGGACAGTCCTTGTAACGGGCAGGACAAAATGATTTGTATTTCAAAAAGTTATTCATTAATATTTGAAATATAACAAATTTATAATTACATTAAGAGTTAAGATAAGTTTAAGCATGGAAATTTACTGTTCAAAGGAGTATTGATGTAGTAGCATAACAAACACAGTCTCTAGTAACGGTTTGGACAAATAATAGTAACGGCCGGGACATTTCTTTAATAAATTTCAATTTTGAAGAATATGTTCTATGGTGTGATAATAAATTTCTATTTACTTATCTATCTGCTTTAAATATTATAAACCACAACGAATTTAAGTTTCACGTTAAGTTTCTATTTTCTATAAGATCTATAGTCTTTATGAATTAAAGGTAACGGTTAGGACATCTATGGTAACAGTTTGGACAAAATGTAGTAAAACAACTTAATTGTATTCCAACCTTTAAAGATTTTTTGGGTGTAAACTGTTTTAACTTTAACTGTGAGATATGTAAGCCTACCATTTACTTTGAATATTGCTAGGTGCTTATATGTTGGCCAAACCTTTGTATTTGATAAATATGTGTTACCATCTCACGATTAACAAAAAGTAAAGGTATCCAAGTGAATGAAAGAAGTATATTTCGTGGAGACTAATATTGCACCATAATATCAACAGCAAAATGATATCTATGCAGTGGCCTGTGTAGCATGACCATGTGTACAGTATCATAGTTGTTGCAGTACCTTTCAAAATTTAATCTTTTGCAACTTTTTAGAGGGATAACATTTGTTTGTTTCACTGATGTCCTGACCGCTAACAATAATGTCACAACTTACTGTTACTATTCATTCAATTTTCGTTCCCCAGTTGCACTCTTCTTTAGATTATAAGTGACTTTCAATCTAGACAGGTGTGTTTTTCTATTCTTTAGAAGCTACAGTTTGTTTTTATTCAAAAGCCTAAATTCATTCACAAATTTCATATTGATATAACAAATGTCCAAACTGTTACCACAGCATGGAAGAAAACATGTCATATTTGTTACAAGTTACAAAATTTCTAATACACATTTCACTGTCATATTTTCCTTTCATGTTACCTGTTTCTATGTTGAATTAAATTGTTTAAGGTTTATGTTCAGCCCGTTACCATTCCTGTCCAAACTGTTACCACTATTGTCCTAACCGTTACTGGTGTTAATTGACTGCTCTAATTAATTCATGATAATACATGAAACACTCCTCTTTATGCTGGTGTCATCAAAAGATGTTCTGGGCTTAGTAGCTGATGTTTATTTTAGACAATTTCACCTGTTGAAAGCTATATTCATAATAATGTTTTAGAAAAATGCTATTATTTTGTGGTAAATAAATGAATAATACAAAATACCACTTTCAAGATTCATTATAATAGTTTTTACCTTCAAGTTTGATTAAGTCGGTGTAAAAGCTGTGTTTGCCATCTTCAAAAGTATTTTATGAATTACATTTCAAAATCCTTTTTCTGATTATGAAGTGGTAACTGTCAGGACTTTCCCTCACCCTAGTAATTACTTATGTATCAATTAAAAGGCCAATTAGTAAATTTGAGCATGCATGTTTGTTTTTTAATAAATAAGTGTTTGAGATTTTATTGAATAAAAATTAAATCAATTTTCAGGAGTTTGAGTTTACTGTAATAAAGAATTGAAAATCCTACCAATTTTGAAAATGACCCATATACGTCTTTGAACAAAACAATCTCAGATGTCGTCTGTCAAAATCTAGAACACCATATATATTACTTTAGTAGTTCACTATGAAGAAGCAATGAGAAACCCTTATTGTCAGGTTCAACTCTTCATTAAAGCAAAAAAACCTTGGGAAGGTCGTGTCAGGTAACCTTTGAGCGATCTATGACCGTCCAATCAAACGCGAGACGGCCGAACGGATTTAACCAATCAGACAAAGGCTACTATTTAGGGTTTGGCGGGACTTACAAAATGGATTTTCTCTTCCCCGGTCGCCAACACTGATCTCATAACAAATGAAAACCCGCATAAATAGAACACATATATATGACCTGCAGAATATACGCTTTTGGGTTTCTGTTGACATGGCTATCATTAGCTAATATTTCCGAAAGCTGACATGCTTGAATCGCGATTTGGTAAGCTGTGTTCTGATTGGTCCATTGAAAAGGTCAGCTGACGCGACCTTCCACAAGGTTTTGTTAGATTCAGTATAGCAGTGTAACGAATAATACTGAGCCTAAGTTTACTTAGACTGCCTGGTCAGTAACTTGTACACTAATAAAATACGAATGATAGATAACTGTAGCCATCAACCATACTCTATATCATGCACCTCACAGTGTATTCACATTAAAACAATATACACACATGTGAATATTCTTATCATGAATATATTAATATCTTGATTACATAAATGCGTACATAAAAAAGGTTCATATGCACAAAACAAGTTCAATGTTAAGATACATACAGAGCTCTACAAGCAAAACTTAATATCACATCATTTGTATCATATCATCTTAAGGCCACATAGTTTTTATAACTTGTACAGAATTTGATTTTAATGAAAATATGGTGTGTAGCTGGAAAATTAACACAAATATCGCAAGACAACATAACATAATAAGCACGTTAAACACCCAAAGTTCAGGACCAATCTACACTTGACGCCAAAAGAAACTTTACCCTCATACCTTTTTGAATTCCTGAAAAACTATCAAAGATATTTTAGAAGGTTTTAGTTTACAAGTAAGCTTAACAACACAGCTAATGCAAATCACGAAAAAAAAATCTCAAATGCTTTCATATTTGGGTGAAATGCATCTTTTTCAGGAGAGTTAAATTGTCCTATATTCGTCCATGCCGAAATAAACCAATAATAGTGATTTTGATGTCCAAAAGAAAGGTTGAAATAAAATTCTGCTTTGGGACAATGAAAAACCATTTAAAGTTACCATTTTGCAACTATTAAAACAATAAACACCTGTTGTAGAGTGTTTAACATATGTAAAATAATCATTGCTATGATTTCAGTCTTTTAAAACATTTTCTGCTGATTTGCATTAGTGAAAACAAGTAAAACGTGTCTTTGATATTGTGAAAAAATGTTTTGGAACATCTACAATTATCTTTAACATTTTTGCCTGCAAAGTAACATTTTTCCATTTCCATTTTACACATAGCAATATCAATCGCCAAAACGCAGCAATATTCAAACAGTATTTACAGCCATTTCACATGCAAAATGATTCTATAGGGTATAAAGAGAGCCTAGAAGACATGATTTGATACACAAGTACGAGAAATATGCCACGATTAACAGCTGAAGGGAGAGAAAGAGCCATTGGGATGGTGCAGATGGGGTCGACATACAATGCTGTTGCCAACGCCCTCGGATGCCACCGTATCACGGTCATAAGACTTATTCAGGGCTTCAGACGGACTGGGGTCACCGTAGACAGACCAAGAAGTGGACGTCCACGCATCACAACGCCAGTTGAAGATAGGTACCTCCGTCATAAAGGAAGGAGGGTAACGTTTCTTTTGGCATTTAGTGTATATGTGTATTCATTCTCTACAACTGCCTACTGAGACCAAATATTTCTATGACAGTCTCTATGTTTTGTGTCTTGTATATAGAAAGTAGAAGGTTTGATGGAGTAACCAACTGCCTAGTTATTATACTAAGTATATGCACTACTTCTTTGTCTCTGAAAATGTTTAACATGCTGTGTAAAGTTAAAAAAAACACTCCCTTCAACACATTTTAAGTCTTTGCTTAAGTCTTTAAGTATGTTAGTGTGATTACACTATTTTTTAAAGTAGTCACAAAATAGTACAGTCAATAATGCAAAAAAATCACAAGACCAGTTTTACATAAATTAAAGCAACTCACTCCAGAGCTGAAACCTTAATCTTGCTAACCAGTACCATGGCAACAGTAGGTCACAGTGACATTTATAATACACATTCTCTTTATGTTTTTTATGTCACAAGCCTCAAAGATTGGTCTTGGGTTGAAATACTATATGATTTAGAGATATATTAACAAAGGCCTAAGATGGAATACCAACTGCCTGCTAGTGGTGGTCTGATTAATTGAAATAATCGAAGATTGGTCGCAGTGACTAAACGACCAAGCAATGTATCATAATTTCTCATAATAGAACACAAACAATTCTGGAACACTTGTTTTCACTAACAATATTTTTCACATGGTTGGTTTTGTCTGTTACATTTCGTAAGCACTGCAATCTCGTTTCAAGTCATGATTGAATTTATCTTAAAGATTCCAAGAAATTATGTTCCCAACATACTAGTCATCCTTTAAAGATGTGAAATTTTGCCAAAAACCCCTAAAAGAACTACGTTTTTTCCTTATTTTTATGTGCATTAACAAATTTCATTAATGACACTAACCAATTATTTTCGATGATTGATCGGTAGTAATGAACCAATCATCAATTATGAGATTTGGACCAATTCCCAACACTACTGCCTGCTATCATAAACATCTTTATCCCATGAAACTAACATTGGCTTGTGATCAGTTGTAAACCCAGCAACTCAACAGAAGTTACTGAGAACATGCGATTTTGCATGTGTTCATATACTGAGTGAAAGAAAATAAGGGAAAAGTGTTCCATTATATTTTTCCAAGGTTTCTTCACGAGCATTGTATCGCATAGCTTGTGAAGAAACCTGGAAAAAAATTAGGTAACACTTGTACTTTCATTTGATCCCTTATTTTTTTCCCTCAGTATATTTGATCTGTCATGGGTGGTGTCATGTAATCAGGTTTCCTTTAAATCTTTTGAGTAGTATATGAAAAACAATTATTATATTGATGTTATTATGATTTTGATATGTATTATTTTGATGTATGGGAATTTTTCACTTCAGAAATGAATTTCTAAAACAACATCAGTGAAATGACAAGTGCTAATACTAGAGGACTCCGCAACTCTTGTCAGTGCATTCAAGTTTTAAAATGATTAGGTACAGAAAATAATTGTAAAACTGGTATCAAAAAAAGAGAACAGCATTCATACATTCTTTCTGCATCAAAGCCCATGTTCTCTGTAGTAGTTAAATCTTAAGAGCATATATGACACTGGATTTTGTGTCCAATCGATCCCTGAATAAAACCATAATATTGCTGACTTCAGCATAAAGTTTGTAATCCCTTATTGGATCAGAGCAACTATTTATTTTGTTTCATTATTTTAACTAGTTTACTGATGAATAGTTACAGATGTAAATATTTAATGATGGGAATGCAAGTGAAATGAAAGACAATTTTCCATGCTTCATACTGTCTCATATCCAAACCAATCCTATTATTTTGACCTAGTTGTTAGACATTTATAAATACACGTTCAAATATTGATGAATATTATGATAAATGTGTCTCTACGTTTATCTGTTCATTCATTCAGCTGTTTTTATCCATTAATGGTATGGTCAACTAGATGTGTCCATGATCACACCCAGTCACGGGGGTTCTTGAGTACGTCCATCAGCTGTTGTTCCCGGGACCCTGGAGATGGAGTATGACAATACTCCCACCTCTGTAAGACAACAGTGAGTGAGTGAGTGATCGAGTGAGTGAATGAAAGTGAATTTTACACCGCTTTTAGCAATATTCCACCCCTGTAAGATAAGAGTGACTGACTGAGTTTGGTGATTGAATGGTTTGGTTTGACCAGAAATGGGCTTCACATGTTGTTTAACGCATCACTCGCTTTAGCAATATTACACCTCCCTGTAAGCTATATGGCTGCATTCAAGTCTGGACCAGACAACGGGATCGGGTGGTCAGGCTCGCTGGCTTGGTTGACACATGTCATTGGTTCCCAATTGCGCAGATCGATGCTCATGCTGTTGATCATTGGATTGTCTGGTCCAGACTTGATTATTTACAGACCGCTACCATATAGCTGGAATATTGCTGTGTGCGCCGTAAAACTAAACTCACTCACTGGACCAGACAATCCAGTGATCAACAGCATGAGCATCGATGAGTGAGTGAGTAAGTTTGGTTTAATGCTGCTTTCATCTGTATTTCAGTGATATGATGCCATCCACTTGATTTGGGACAAAAGCGCAGAGATCTTAGGTGTTTACTGTTTTGTGAAACCCACAAGCATGGGTACGGTTATGACAAACCGAGAAATATAATTAGGGGAACTCTGGGATTCAAACCCAGTCATTGATCATCAGTGTCAGAGCACTATGGCATTCAAACTCAGAGCAAATGTTAAGTATGTTGGTTCTACATAGGGTATGTTTTTGAGCTTGACATTAAATGATTATTCTTACTGATGGTTGGTTGCTTGGTTTGTTGTTTAACGCCGCACTCAGCAATATTCCAGCTATATGGCTGCGGTCTGTAAATAATTGAATCTGGACCACACAATCCAGTGATCGACAGCATGAGCACTGATCTACATAATTGGGGTATGATGACATGTGTCAACCAAGTCAGCAAGCCTGACCACCCAATCCCAATAGTGGACTCTATCGACAAGCATGGGTTGCTGAAGACAAATTCTAACCTGGATCTTCACGGGTTCTTATTGACAGACTGTTCCAAATATGTCAATCTAAACAAAAAGTACCACACATTGAAGTAGGAACTCACAGCATTCAGGGGCAGAGACATGAGGATGCTCTCGAATCTGGCGCCAGGCGTGTACAGGCCAAACTTGGTGCCACGATCGTAGTATTATAGGCATAAGATTATGGTACTTGCTGCAATAATAGATATACAATTGACATTATTAATAACAGTGATTAAGAGGTGATAAGATACAAATTATGAGAGGATTTAATAATATATTTAAGATGTGAAGTGATTAATAACGTTGTAAGGTAGGAAGTCAGTAGCGGAGGTAATAAACATGAAAGTAGGTCGTTAAAGCTGATGGGGGGCAAGGTGACTCATAGCTTAGGTAGGGAAAAATTGTTACACTATCAAGATTGAGCGGCGTGTCCGGGACCTTGCTACCAGATCTTGGTACTATACGAGTCATATATGGTTAGGGGAGAGAAACGCTGATATTCCTGGAATACACCTCACGGTCTTGCAAATATGGTAGTGGGGGTACGAAATATAGGTGGGGGAGAGTAATAGATAGTCAGGTTATGGGTTATTGACCAATAGAAAAAATGAAAAAAGGGTGTTGGCTGTGGCGTAGGAACCCAGGTTTAAGCTGGAGCAAAGCTCAGAGACGAGAGAGTGGTGCGAGACTTGAAGCCGAGAACGAGTGTGCTCCTAGGAACCCCAAGCCTGGGGTCTAGGGCGCATCAGCTCTATTCTGATTGTCACTAACTTTCGTACTAAGAAACAAACTCAAAGCACCAGCATTTCGACTGAGACTGAAGCTTCCAAGCTGAAGTCTTCTAATTATGTGACAAATAGAGTGGGTTGGACCAGCAACGCAGTGTTAATAAAACTGTGGAACGAAGATCATCGTCTTGTGGTTGCTGGAGGAACTACGGTAAAGGTCCAAAGGGCCCTCGGGGTACTGACACGGTACCTCTCGCACATCCCTTATCGTCAGGACCGAAGTACGAGGGTATACCGTAGTTCCAGGTAACGACACACCATCCCAGGTGAGGGATACCGACAGGTAAATTCCATCTACCTGCCAGGTAAAGGTGCTAGTCGGAACCCTTTGGATAGTAGATCAAGTTAAACTCAACACATCGGCCTCGCCTCAGTAACTGCCATTTTCTGAAATTTTGAAAGTGTCACTTTTTTAATATTCATTACAAAAATTAACTTTGCTATCGCAGTTTCTGTTCATTTGTGCTGATAAATAAATTATCTACAAAAAAATGTTTATTGTTTAAGATTTTAACAAACATTTATCCAATCACCTGCAAAATCAAAACAACATCAATCTTACTCTATAGTCTATAAAATATGCCATATACATGTATTAGAAATTAACTGTGATACCAGCTTAAATGTATACAATCTAATGTCCCTAAAAATACACAAATTTAGAAATAATGAATTATCAAACTATCAAATTACCTTTCATCGTAACTGTAGCCTTCATTTCTGTGTTTCCAAACAATTGGCATATACGACGGCACCACAGCTTCATCACAGGACTGGAGACATAAAGGTTAAAACCTCAGATTCATTTAAACTTTCATACAATATTTAGGAAATAAACATCACATTTCCATATTAGCAGGCTCCCTCACTACCCCACTGGTACAGAGCTTTCTGAGGAGATGAAGTGTACAACTGACAGAGGACAACACGTAATGGACAAACAGGCCACAACATAAGCTCACTTGACTTTCTGCGTTGTTACGTCTTGTTATTTTGAAATGAGTGAGTGAGTGAGTTTAGTTTTACACTGCACTCAGCAATATTCCAGCTATACGGCGGCAGTCTGTAAATAATCGAGTTTGGACTGAACAATCAAGTGATCAACAGCATGAGCATCGATCTGCACAATTGGGGGAACCGCTGACATGTTTCAACCAAGTCAGCGAGTCGCCTCTTACGACAAGAATGGGTTACTGAAGATCCGTACCTAACCCGGACCTTCACAGGTCTATTTTGAAATGAAGCTTCAGATGTGATTTCATGATAATTAGTCAAATGTGCTTCCATCAATACTTCACAATATTAAATGTATATTTTATACTTACTGTAACAAACTTGTAAGCCTCCTCATGAGTAGGTTCATCCACATCATCAAAAAATATACCTCCGACACCTCGACATTAACAAACTTGAAAACACATGCCTCCGACACCTCGACATTCATGAAAAATATACCTCCAACACCTCGACATTCACCTAGGTTCATTCACCTGAATAACATCATGAAAAATATACCTCCGACACCTCGACATTCACCTGAATAACACATGAAAAATATACCTCCGACACCTCGACATTCACCTGAATAACACATGAAAAATATACCTCCAACACCTCGACATTCACCTGAATAACACATGAAAAATATACATCCGACACCTCGACATTCACCTGAATAACACATGAAAACTATACCTCCGACACCTCGACATTCACCTGAATAACACGATGGATATCATGGATATTTTGAACATTTTGTAGCTGTGTCAGTTCTGCATATAGAAGTAATACAGAAAATAACTCACTTCCGTATAGAACTACGTGGAACGATATCGAACATATATATAATTTCATGGATGATATTTACATGATACCTGAATCAGGCCATCTCCAGCCAAAAACAGAATCTACAGTCAGTTCCTGAAAGCTATCATGGCGAACTGGTGGTTGTAACTCTCATTATTTAACATAGACTTACGACTGTCACAGCCCATTGCAGGTCTCTAAAATATATGTATATGTTTGTATCTCTGACATAGATCAAGGTGTGATAAGGGCCCTACATGGCGCACAAGACAGGTGTTAATTAGAGTGAGTGAGTGAGTTTAGTTTTATGCTGCACTCAGCAATACTCCAGCTATATGGCAGCGGTCTGTAAATAATCGAGTCTGGACCAGACAATCCAGTGTTCAACAGCATAAGCATCAATCTACGCAAATGCGATACGATGACATGTGTCAACCAAGTCAGCGACCCTGACCACACGATCCTGTTAGTCGCCTCTTATGACAAGCATGGGTTACTGAAGACCAATTCTAACCCAGATCTTCATTGGTATGGAATATGGGAAAAGGATATTTTCTGCATTAGAGCTGTTAGTCTGACCTCTGTGTTTGATGACAAAGTAGTCGTCGCACCATTTCTTGAAGCGAGGGTAGAATGACTTGTTGTGTTTGTCGCAGGCGGACTTCAACGTCTGATGAAAGTTTTTCACATCCTGACACAGAATGAACGATGGAATGAGAGGATGGAGGACATATAACAAACAGACAAATGAACCAGAAAAGTATCAAATGTATCTGTTTCATGTGTAAGGAAGGCAAGAATGGAAGCTGGTCTTTGAAAGTTGGGTTCGCCACTTTGAACAATATTCCAGTTATATCAACGTATAACAGACAAACGAACAAGAAAGGTATCAGCTTGATTTGGGAGGACAGCCAGGACTGACGCAGTCTCAGACGTTCACCACTCAGTCGATCGAATCCCATGAGTAATGGTACATGTATGTAGCTGACAGACATAAAAACATAAACTGGGCTAATTTGATTATTCAAACCATCAAGTTAGAAATACATCTGCCATTTTAGTGAAAAAAACACAGAGGAGCAGTAAGACAAACAGAATCATTATGAAGGCAAAACATGGCATTGGGCAAGGGAGACAACTCTGCACATCAAATTGCTTGACCTGAGATGACCAAGCCACTTGTGCCCATCAGCTAATACTAGTATATATATATATATATATATATATGTATTAGGGATATATACAGGGACACACACACACATGTATATATATATGCAAGGACAAAACATCAGAAAACAGACAAGCAATAATACATTTTGGGCCACATTTGGCATTCATTGCACGATAAATTATAAATCAACTGAATATCTGTAAATTAACGCTAATTTCAAGTGTGTAAACATTCCATGGAATAATACAATAGTTCAGAATCTCTATTATTACAAAATATTTCAAACCTATGAATACACAAAAGTTATATTTCAAACCTATGTTTAACTTGAGATTTATGCAAACACATCCCTAAATGATGTACCATTTAAGAGATTATATTAAAGGTTATGTCTGGGCTTGTGTCAATATTTTCTCCAAACGGCTAGTCAGAGTCAATGGTTTTGGCTCAGAGCAAGACGCCTCAATCACCAACCTCTTCTACCAGGAAGTTGGGTGTGAGATCGGTTCCGCCACCATACCACCACTGTTTGCCGTCTTTGGTTTCAACCTCGAAGTAGCGATAGTTAAAGTGGATTGTGGGAATATGAGGATTTTTCTGAAACATGAAGTTGAAAAGCAACCTATAAATAGCGTCAGTCTTGTGAGCAGGATTACTTCAACAGCCAGCCTTGCTCATGTTATTGTCTTTGGTCATATGTTTGGTCATCCAATGTATTGCTGTACATGACTGTATACTCTGGAACCATTTACACTTTGAATGCTGTTTCTGAAATAATGTTGAAAGTGTGTTTGTCCTGAGAGCAGTGGTCTGGTCCCCGGCAATGTCCTGCCATACAATGTTAAAAATAGGTACTTGTTGTTACCTAGCCTGGAGCTCAGAAATAAGGTGCTTATACAAGGGCAGGTTGTAGGCCTCGGTAGGGCCTTAAAATATTTTACGAGGTGAAATCTAACTTTGATTGAGGAGGGGGTGGTTTTGTCGTTACATCCCTTTCCTTTTATATAGGGGCGGTGGGGTAGCCTAGGGTGGTTAAAGCGTTCGCTCTATAGGCCTATATGGGTACAATTTCTGAAGCCCTGTTTCAGGTGTCCCCGCCGTGATATTGCTGGAATAGTGCTTAAACGGCGCCATACTGGTTCCTTTTATATAGTACTAGGGTGAGCTACCTATATGTCTTTCTAACGCTGTTTTTAAGAGTGTGGTTCAGAGCGAGTACACTGTGTCTGTGTGGGGTACCCATGTTAAACCGCAGCATGGTATCTCAGTGGGCTAGCGGTATCAAACCCACATCAGCTGCTATATAAGTGCAATGGTCTTGCAGATAATGTTCAGTCCCATTTCACATCACCTCATACACTTAACCCATTACATCTTTCACATTGTAAAATAAAAAATACAATGACATTTCTGAACCAATATTAATAAAAAAAAAAATCAAGTCCGTTTACAGTAAAGGAGAACGTAATGTTTTAGAAGTGAGTGAGTGAGTTTGTACTTACTGTCGCCTAAGTTTATGAGCATACCTGGTCACGCATACTATTTGACTTGGACATATTGTGTAAACTGATATGACCAACAGGTTCTTAACCTCTTACATTGAATGACAAGAGATAAATTCAATCAACTTATTTGTAGTGCTTATGAAATGTAACACAAAACCAACCTTATGAAAAATATTGTTTATGAAATCAAGTGTGTGTTCGATTGATGTCTAAGTCACTGCGAATAAAGTTTGGGAGTTTAGTTTTACTGTGCTTTTAGGTTTACGGTGCTTTGGCAATATTCCAGCAATATCACAGCAGGGGAACACCAGAAATGGTCTTCACACATTGTACCCATGTGGGGAATCGAACCTGGGTCTTCTGCATGATGAGTGACACTTTAACCACTAGGCCACCTCACCATCCCTCTAAAATAAGGTTTACGATATCAGGAATTCCACTTTGTATTTGAGGCAGCACACAACATAGCAAGTCCAGCATTTTTCCATTAGAATAATACTATGGCAAATCATCTCAACCTTTTATCGTTAAAAAGTAGAGATCTACATTGAACACTTAAAGATGTTCAACTGAAAAATGGAAAATGTCACATAAACTAATTCTTGCGCATTAACTTGGAAAGGTTTTCTTGTCAACTTACAGGATGAATCACTGCACTAATACCGGCAGCAAAAAATGGAAGTGAGGTTCCTTCAAGCTTCTTACCCCTGGAAATAAACATCCTAATAATAACAACAGCAATGAAAACAAAATTCAGCTGTTTACAACACATGCTAAACAGAAACAGAATCATTCTTAACATTTTCTGAATGTACCCCAACTTCCTGATCCCCATCATAAACATGTTTCAAGGAACATTTTGATTTTACCATTAAATGTGCTCTGAAACTGAAAGTCATATGCCTCCAGCTATCTCAATCACAAAGATTTCAACACTTGATGATTATGATTTTTATGGATGACATTCCATAGGCTGAACTTAGTTTAACAGATATTTCACACCTTCACATATCAACTACATAAAATGTAGAAATGAATGCGAAAAAACAGGGTTTTTTTCTATTTCCGACAGTACTTTAGGCTTCCCCCCCCCCCCATGCCATATACAAAATTGCAATTACTGACCTACTCCCTAGTGCATGTGTATAAAATTGATGACTCCCCAGAACAAACTGATTGACAACCTCACCCATTCAAAATCATCATCACAACCCCAGCCATAAATTATGGACAGTCCTAATGTCATCACTTTTCATTCATGAAAACATGTGATGCAACTTCCACTGTCAACCATTTGACAAAATCATGACAAATAACAGCAGGCATCCTCCTCCATAAAGGCCCCAAAATAAAAATTATTTGCCAAGACAATAATACCTTGATCTCATCTGTTGGACGGCACCTGGTGGCAGGTTGCCATGGACGACAGAGATATTAACGCCCGCCTTCTCAAACACTGTGGCGTCCTGCATGACACAAGTGATGCCACCGCCTCCCTGGATCACAGAAAGGTCAAGGTCATAGAGAGGTTAAAATGTCACTCTATGATGGCTGAAAATACTACCACATTCAGGTCATTATACTTACGATTTGTTATTTTTCATAGCACTCTAGTCCTGGAATTTGTTGACAGCCCATAAATATGAATCTGAACATCACATTCCAGTGATAGATGTTATGAAATTACTTCAAGATGTTGTAGTACAATGACATGTAATGAACAAAGTCACTAGGTCTGACTACACAATCAGTTTGATCACCTTTTACAAGAGTGATTGATTGATTGATTCAGTGAGCAAGTGATCTAATATTTATTACATCGACAATATTTCAGCCATATCCTGACAATGAATTATTGTAATTATTACATCAAAAATCAATAAAATTAGAAATTAAAAACCTGTTGTTGAAGAACAATAAAACTACAAAGATGGGTCGTCCAAGGCGAAAACTTTGCAGTGCAGAGTTGAAGGTTCAAATCCCTTTTCCCCAGTTCTGTTTCTAGGATTGAGGGTTCAAATATTTGAAGCCATTTCTGGTGTCCCCGCCGTGATATTGCTGGAATATTGCTAAAAACGGCGTAAAACCATGCTCAGTCAGCATGGTATGCGTGATTGACCAAAATCATACATGTCCGAGACCTGTACTACTATATTCTTTGATCCAACAAAGCTGACATGCTGTGATACAACTAGAACACTGTTAAACCCAACTCACTCACTCATCAAATTCTATGTTATGACATAATAAGCTGTTGTGGACCTAAGCCGGAATGCCTGTAGGCTAAGATATGGACCTACCAAAATTTTCTTGAACTTAATCATTTCATTCATCCATCATTCTTACAAACCTCTTTCCTCTTCCATCTATCCACCTGGAATTTCTTCTCTCCATCTGCCTCCTCCAAAGCTCGGCAAACTTCGCCCTAAAAGTCAGGAGACAGTTCAAAATTATTTGATGGCATCCAACTGCAACATTTTTTGAGGTTTCATACTACATGGTGAGAGTGTTTGATAACAAACTGTAACTACCATAAACATCATGCTGGAGAGGACTGAGTATTAATTTGTATCTCATACATCCTTATATGGGTAGTGGTGATACGTATTACCTCCCTTTACTGGAGCTACATACACCTTGGAGAAAGAAAGTAGTTCCATTGTGAGCTTACACTTTTTTGATTTTGGATTAGAAAGATATGAGGCTAATGTGCCACCAAATATAACAATAATCAGATTTAATAATATAAGTCTAAGTTCATCCACAGACCATGCACTGATGCAATACTCTGTACACATGCACTGAAGCAGGTTTCGTTATTTTCCGTACAACTTGTTCTTTTAATTTTTTGTTTTGGGTGTAAGGATTAGAAAGACATACAACTTGTCACATTCAAGCTTGTCACTAATTTTTCCCCGCCGCAAATTTTCAAACTTAAAACGTAATGAAAAGGTCGTAATTAGAAAGACATGAACCAAAACATGCCACAAGCAAATATGCAAAGAATCAAACTTTTAACAAGCTTCGTGTATGAAATATCAAAATAGTAATAAAGAAATTGCTTATTGAAAAACATTCAAGGGACAAAGTCTATGAACCTGCAGCTTAACATGCTGAAATCTTCAAAGTGTCGCCATGACCTTGAAAATTAGGTGAAGGTCACCAAAATCGACTGGGCCCTGCACCTTGCCTAGATAAAATCTTGGTGTTGAATATGAAGAAAATACAGTGATAAAAGCGGTTGAATATGAAGAAAATCCGGTGAACGGTTCTGGAGATATCTCGCTGACAAGGGTAAAACGTTAAAGTCCCCTTGTGACCTTGAAATGAAGGTCAAGGTCACCAAACCCGACTGGGACCTTTCTTTTACTCTGATGAACTTAGGTACCAAATATGAAAAGAATCCAGTCAACGGTTCTTAAGATATTCCAATTCGTACGTACAGACGTACATACAGACAGACAGACAGAGCCTAATACAATATCCCCTGCTTCGTGCTAAATGCGCGGCGGGGGATAATTAATATCTATCTAACTTCATCTATAGACCTTGTTCTTGTTTGTGGCAATACCAGGTACCTTTTTCTCATTGTAAATGTCATATGTCTAGTTACATTTATTTATGTCCTGTTTTGAAGTTCTCTTTAATAAATAAGTACTTGATATATCATTTCTGGTACAAAATAGTGGATCAGAGCTGGAGCTCACCTCATATGTAGTTAACTCTTCTTTTGGGGATTTGACAAAAGTTTGACAGTATATGCAAATTCCTGTGTGTCATTACAGATTTGAAAAACAAAAACATCTGAAACACATCTGAAAAAAGTTTATCTGTACCTGTATTCTCATAATCATCATCTCCATCCTGCTTTTCATGTCATCGGAATTCTGCAAATAGAACAGTTCATTCAACATACATGACTCTTTTACAGTGGAACTTTGTGAGGACTGGCAGCTCATGACTTTAGTTGTCTGTGGAGGAAGGTGAATGCTGTTTAATACTGAAGACAGCAACATTTCAGGTAGAATTGAAGATCCGGGTTAGAATTGGTCTTCAGCAACCATGCATGTCATAGGAGACGACTATGGGTGGTCAGACCTGCTGACTTGGTTGATGTGTGTCATCTTTCCCTAGTTGCATAGATCGATGCACCTGATGTCAGTCACTGGATTGTCTGGTCCAAACTTTATTATATACAGACAGCTGGAACATTGCTAAGTATGGCGTTTATAAAACAAACAATATTCAGACTGAATATGGTGTCCTGGGTATAATCTAGCCCAGACCAATCAAAGCCATTTCTAAGACATACAGTTCCTCCTGTTTTGAGCCACAAGGTCAGGGTGAACCATTGGGATCTATAAAGGTCACACACCTTCTGCAGATCTTCCATCTCTGTGATCGGTTCGGCCATCCACATCTGTCGCTGACTCTTGCCGTCCAGAGACTTGGCATAAGCCTGTAATATCAACAGAAGATATAAAATGGGAAAGCCTTACAAGTGATGATGATGATGATGATGATGATGATGATGATGATGATGATGATGATGAAACCTTTGAGGTATGCCCACAGTGCTACATGACCATTAGTATCAAAGGGCCTGATTTCCCTTGAGTTTCATTCATGTCATGTTCATAGTCACCTTGTCATCTCATCCTACTGGGTACCCATTCACTACTGGATGAGAAGCATCTTTTGAACAGTCCCAACATGTAACATGTTTTAGTGTGGGGCAGGCCCAAAATCTAGAAACTATTTACAGCTAAGACTGCCCTCACATTTTTCAAATATAAGACCCATCCATCGACATTTCAGGGGTTTTGTACAATGATAACTGGGCACACAGACCCACTGGCACCCATTTCCAACTATAGCCTACACTTAAGTCCTATCATCGCCTTCGTGAACTGGGCACACAGACCCACTGGCACCCATTTCCAAATGGGCTGGGGGTTCAAGGCCGAGTGGGGCCGTGGGGTAGCCTAATGGTTAAAGCGTTGGCTCGTCACGCTGAAGACCCGGGTTCGAATCCCCACATGGGCACAATGTGTGAAGCCCATTTCTGGTGTCCCCCGCCGTGATGTTGCTGGAATATTGCTAAAAGCGGTGTAAAAATAAACTCAGTCAGTCAGTCAGTCAGTCAAGGCCGAGTTGGCTTCTTTACAGGGATAAAACGTGAGAAGACCATTCTGGTGTCCCCCGCCATGATGTTGCTGGAATATTGCTAAAAGCGGTGTAAAACTAAACTCAGTCAGTCAGTCAGTCAGTCAAGGCCGAGTTGGCTTCTTTACAGGGATAAAACATGAGAAGACCATTCTGGTGTTCTCTGCCGTGATATTGCTGGAATACTGCTGAAGGCGGCATATAACACAATTCACTCCTTCACTCTTATCTTACCGTAGTGGTGCCTCTCAGCTGGTAGTAGGCCGTTCCACCCACCACAAAACTCACAAAGCTCATTCTGAAACATGTAACAGACCTCTTAGAATCAAACACAAGAAGTCCATCCACTGACTGATCGTATCAGCTGTATCAAGTTTCTCTGTATGGTCTCCATCAATACCCTGAATGAGGGGTCAAACTACCCCCGGGTACAATATCTCAAACTGTTTCAACCAATACTGGCGATGTCGAGCAGCATTTCAAAGTCAGACCAGCACTGATGTTTAACATCAAGACTTTCTTTTCTATAATATCTCAATACCAATCTATTGCATAAACATACGACTTAATCTCCTTGATCTCTGTACATCTCAATCTTTAATTCCACCTCACTGGCCTCCTGTACGTACTATACATTTTGCTTGTAAGTCATACCGGTATTCTGTCATTCACCTGATGAAGGGGCAAGAAGTAGTCCAGAAACATTTGTAAATCCATGCCATACGTTGTTATGATGCCTCCCAACTTCTAAATGCCTATCAAGCGAACTTTCTTTTCATCCGGGGCGGTGGGGTAGTCTAGTGGTTAAAGCGTTGGCTCGTCACACCGAAGACCTGGGTTCGAATCCCCACATGGGTACAATGAGTGAAGCCCATTTCTGTCGTCCCCAGCCGTGATATTGCTGGAATATTGCTAAAAGCGGCATAAAACCAAACTCAGTCAGTCAGTTCTTTTCATCCAAAATTACTATTACTAGAAACTATTTTCCAAATAAACCTTAAATATATCTTATTTCATTGTTCATACTTCACATTTCTGCAAACTAAAGTTTAAATACACTTCACTTGATCTAGACTGCCAGAAACATCAATATTCAAAATATTGAGCCAGAAGTTAGTATAACGATCATCAAAATTTACTAATTTAGCATAAAAGTTACTTTCAATACATATTTCACATAAATAATCATTTCCATTGTTGAATCACATGACTATATACAGGGCTCCAGATAATTTTTCATCATCAGGAGTATTTACTGCTTATGTTTGTCAATATGGGAGTACTGGAAAATCTTAAGAGTACATTTAGGGTACTGAATATACCATCACAAGAAATTTAATGGGGGATCAGTAATCTTGTGTTTCGTTTCATATATACACCACAACATTAGTATTCTTGTGTAAACAGGTACAAAATCATTAAAACAATACTTTTTTCAGATAAATACGTCTGTAAATGATTCTAAGACCGTACACCATTGCTGTCGTGCGTATCTGCTACGTTTCATAAATTGTTTCCTATCCACATCGGCATATCATTTATCACCTGTGTTTCTTGACATGCAGATACTGGCCACTGTATCTGCGAGCCCTGCTATATAATGGTATGGCTATACCATCACAAGGATAAAATGTTTGCTCACCTGTGTTTCTTGACATGGGGAGACATTCTGGCAACTGTCACCACTGTCAGGTTTTTGACAGTCCGGAGACACTGGGCCATTACGCGTGCCATGTTGAACTCTGTCACAACAAATGTACACATAAAGTAAGACAATATATCATATCCATATATTATAACCCAACTATTATTATTTCCTCATAAGAATCATGATCGCTCACCATTTTCAGATTAATTTTTCTCGCTCTAAATATATACAAGAAAGCTTAAGAAAGGTGGTGATCATGTGTTCTATAGTAAGGCAATAGTGATAACTGGTCCCCAGTGAAAACTAATCTCTAACCAGTAGTAATAATTAGGGCTGTAAAGATGCATCGAACTGTCGATGGATTGCAATTGTTGAGTCTCAGATAGCAGTTAATGGATGGAAGAAACGAAAAACTATTGATGCATTGATAGTATGTTTGACTATTGATAGTTTAGTAATTGACTTCTGTTGATAAATGCACAGCACAAAATACAGGTACCAGATTCGTTCACTTTGATTTAGAGTTATCTGCCCCTGTTACCTGTTACAAACTCAATCTGGGTTTCAAGTTCCTTGTCAGTTATTAAAAGAGACGGAAACAACTTCAATTTGCTTTTATTTCATATAAACTATACATTCATTTGGAAAATGACTTCAAATGAGACATTTCAAGGAGCAAAAATTACTGCAATAGTTGGTCGCAACAGACTATCGCTATGGCAATAGTATGCTGAACAGACAATCGTATCGCAATATTTGTTTCCCCTTCAATAGTCACCCCTAGTAATAATGTTTGAAACTACTGCCATTCTTTTGACAGGTATTGTCACAAGATTAGCTAGATAAAACTAACGGAAAAACATTTACTTTTGTAAGACCTTCATGAAAGTTTGGGTCAACAGAATATAAGTATCAATTTTAATTAAAATGATTAAAACTAAATGTGGGAAATTCTGCTGTGATTTCTATAAATAACATTTTATATTCTGTGCAAAACATTTTTATGACAATAATATACACCAAGTAATGAAATGAGAAGCTCTGATTTCGCAAGCGCCAATAACAATTCCATTCTGTTCATCTCACAATCATCCTATCGAAGGCTACGCTTGAGGTATTATCATGATTATGGTTTGTTATTATCACAGTGGGATGCTGAATGAGGGATGCAGCTGGCCATTGTTGCTGTTATCTGTGCTGGTGAAACATAGGCCGTCCAATGTCTGACCACCTGTTCACAGTCCATTGTAGCAGAATCAGAATTTGTCCTTGAAACAGCTGCCTGGTTAAAAATCTGTTTGGATTGGTGATACACCATCATATGTTTAGTGATTGGTCTTCTGTTTTGCATAGGGCGGTGGGGAAGCCTAAAGTACTGTCGGAAATAGAAAAACAACTGTTTTTTCGCATTCATATCTACATTTTATGTAGTTGATATGTGAAGGTGAGAAATATCTGTTAAACTAAGTTCAGCCTTTAAACTACAGTCTCAGTGGTAGGGAGATAGGAAATGTAAAAAGAGGACTTTACTGAGGTGAGATTAGTGCAGAAATGAGCAATGTGGTTTTTTTCTAAGTCCAAAGCGACTTATTTGGAACAGAACATGGCTTTATGTTAATTAGTGTGCGATGATATTGTATTACAAAGGACACTTTTTAAATGCCCATTTTGAAATTAAACTTAGCTTTATTACAAACGATAGCTGACTTAAAAAATAGTAACTTTAATACTGAAACTATTAAAGATGTAGTTAACATGGAGCCTCACTATCACTAAAAATAAAAAGAAATAGGTAGGAGGTTTTGTCTCAAAAGCAAACCCAGGTCGGGTGTTGCAGACGGTGGTTGGGGTCGGGCTGGGGATACAGACATCCGCTAAGATAAGACGATCCTTTAGGGGAATTAAACTGGGGAAGTAAACAGCATGTCATAACAATTTACAAATAATATCCAGTCCTGTCGATCTTCGGGTGGTCATGCCACCTACATATTTGGAAACATTCAATACAATGGCTTTTCTATGGGTATCATACTCTTTCACATATCTCAACATAAACTTTATGAAAGACAGACGTGTAAGATGTTAATCAATAGATGAGACATATTCAACACACATGAAAATGCATAAATATCTTTGAGATGACCCCTTGTGCCTGTAGGCAGCACGTGCATTTCATGCCAGGTGAGTCGACAGTCCGTCGTCATACTTGACTGAGTGACCTAATTGCCTGGTTGACACATGTCATCGGTCATTGTCTGATCCATTGTTTTCAGCAGCTATTCATATTTTTTCTAAGTTTTGCCCGATTTTATGAGTATACATGCTTTTCTGGATATCCTATTACGCATCCCACTGAACGCCCATTTAGGCTGATGTGGGTTATTTCGACATATGCTATTTGCAATTGTGTAAATTTTAGGGATACAGAGTAACAGCTTAAAAACGTTTTTTTTATATTTCCGACAGCACTTTAGTGGTTAAAGAGTTTGTCTGCCACTGTCGTATATTTGGGGCAGGAGCAAATGACACGAACCTGTGAGGGCGGCAGATCATTTATTGACGTGAGGAGGGCGTGATGCACATACATCAGTGACATCACACAGTGACATAGTTCACTCACAGAAAGGCGCGGGACTGCTCAAATGTAAACATTACCATGTGCTTCGCCTATATACTACAGTCACCCTGAAAACCCGAGTTCAATTCCCCACATGGGTACAATGAGTGAAGCCCATTTCTGGTGTCCCCTGCTGTGATATTGCTGGAATGTTGCTAAAAGCGGCGTAAAACTAAACTGTTCTGCATCACATCTTGTTTACTTACTATGTAAGCTTATTTGTTGTTAGCAGTATTCCAGCAATCAACCAAGCCTGATCGGCCAATCAGATCAGTCCCATCTTACAAGAATAACAAGTATCATCATTTAACCTCTTTTGATACGCTGCAACCACAGGATCTAACAACTATCTTCCACCCACCTAACACTGTATATATGTGGTCCTGTGCGTAGACCTCACGCCATGAAGCAGTTGAAGATTATGCAATGTGAGCGTGGACAGTCCTTGGATGGGTGACCGTGTTTGGCAGTTTGACTCCTGAGAGTTTCTAGGACTTCAGTCCTGCCCCACAACGAAGCACATGTGATACACGTGGTCTCACCTTGGGCAAGTGAGTTTGTTCAAAATTGCCTCTGTTCACCCAGCAGAAAATGGATACCCGCTGGGATAAGTCATGTGACTATTAACGTTCTAGCGCCTCACAGGCAGCTTTGGTTATCTGGGGTAATAATACTCAGATTCTGATTACTGCATCCAGTAAGCAACTAGTCAGATGGATACTAGGCTATATAAATTAATTATTATCATTATCATTATACACTAGGCTACTGAAGCTGTGTTGATAAATTTTGTTTGCTCTGAAGCCATTTTAAAAGTTTGATGTTGGAGAAAGGTAGCGAGTAAGTACGGTTTTGCAACACATTTAGAGTAAGTGAACGAGTATTTTTTATGCCGCTTTTAGCAAAATTCTAACAATATCATGGTGGGGACACAAAAAATGGGCTTCAAGCATTGTACCCATGTGTGGATCGAACCCTGCATTAGAAGCGAACACTTTAACCACTGGGCTCCCCCACCTCCTGTGACTCATGAAGTCTACATGTTAGACTGTGATGTCTAGAGATGGGGAGGAGGTGTTGCAGCACTTCCGTGCCTCCAAGTTCGTGCAAGATACTTTGATAGAGTGAATGGAAGATGATCCTGCCATTAGACAGACTGACTCCACCAGGATCCTGACTATCATCAGTTTGGACTTTGGATCTGGCCGTGACAACCTCTGTCATCAGACAAACGATGGTGTCTGTTGATTTCAAAATGTTATACACAACAAATGAGCATATATTTACAAAACCCAACATCTCTATACACACACAAAGAGTGTATCGGCAAATGAACCAACCAATGAAAACTTCGTTACACTTAAGTGCACACCCACCCGCTCTGACTGGCTTCGGTATCCCGGGTGCTTCGTTTCAAGAGAAATAAACCCAAGTACAAAATATTGCACTTTTGATTTGTGATTGTACCCTTATAATTTTGTTTATTTGTTTTTTCATAATGAGCAATGTACATTATATGTCCTGAATAAGTAATAATTGTGTTTTAATTATGTTTGATGTTTGGATTGCATGTGACCTTTAAAGCTGCTGACATACTACTACTGTGACAACTGCCCCTACTACTGCCAGGAAGTGCTAGCTACTGCCACCACTGTCACTACGTGTACTACAAACTACAATTACTTCCATACTGTGTTGTGAGAAACAGACATATAGATAGAAATTTGATGATATACAGATCTATACAATGTTCATAATTTCATAATAATAATAAATGTGAACTTATAATGCGCCTTTTCCATGCACAAGGCCCATGCTCAAAGCGCTAACAAAGTGGGTGGATAGTATACATATATACAATGAGGGACAAGTAGCTATATTCATAATGCAGTGAAAACAGATGAGTCTTGAGTAGTCGTTTGAAGGAATTAAAGTCAACTGCTGATTTAATGGTGATAGGGAGAGAGTTCCAGAGTAGTGGGGCAGAGCAGGCAAAGGATTTCCTTCCAAAAGTTTGCAGTTTGAAACGAGGCACAGACTTATTGCTTTAAGTCTGAAACACTTCCATACAACATATAGAACTTTAATCACTAATTAGACATGCTACATACTAGCAATTGTGGTTATCACAGTTTTAGTCCAGCATATAACTAGACGATTTTGCACTATACCAAGGTGTGCTCGCTCGATGTAGGCCTCGACTGGAATACGAGTTTATTTATATGAATTATCACGTGCGGAATATGCAATTACACCTACTTCAATAATGCATCTCGTATAATATATTCCTCGCAGTATACTGTGCCATTGTGCATTGTAGTATTACACTGGTTTCAGAGCAGGCCTTCGGGACAAAATCTAGGACACTTAATGAAGGAAAGTTGTATTACTATTATTTTACTGCACAGATAGCTCACTATCTCACTATCACGTACCTGTAATATACTAGGTCAGTTCACTTATCGGTCGCTCACTTGAGACACAGATCGAATGACAAATAATGTTATGATGCTACTAGAATACTTACACGTGTTGCGCTGTCGGCTGATCCGGTACAGGTGAGGATCAGTGTCTCCTGCACGCTTGATATCGCACGTAATACTACTGAGCACAGTTTGTGAACTTGTTTGCTTACACGTGTGTCACAACCTTGAACTTGGGGTCATTTAGTAACCTTGACATTCGTTGCCCGTTAGACTGGTTCGGAGCACTTTGTTACGCACATACCGGTCCTAGTTAATAAATTATCAAACCAATGAGGAAATACGTTGCAACGAGTTATTAACGGATCTCGTTACCCAATACAGTCTGATTTCAGAAAAAAACCAAGTGACATCCTAACCCTATCTTATCACCTACACAAGTAAACAGTGACACCGCAAAGCACTTTGGAAATACATGCTGACTTTTCTTGGAAACAACTAGACTAACAACTAGTCTCTGAAATGAACATATTTTACTGAAAAAAGTTCATAGTAAAATAAAAAAAATATATAATGAAAAGGAGCCCTGAGACTTTCTTCATTTTCAGAGAGGAAATCTAGACTTGCCACATTTTCTAGACTTGTGTGGGCTTTCTTGGATATATTTGCTTCAGGGTCTGTATGACAGACTAGGAAACAACGAATATGCAAACTCTATTTAGAATGAGTCGAAGTTTAAGCTCATCGCTGTTCTCGTTTAACATTCATTAGGTTTCAGTTCTAGGTTTTAGTTCTTTTTGGAAAAAAAAAGTATTTTCTGAGGGTGCTAACTATGACCACAGCCTCACTATATATTTTGAAACCTTAAACCAAAAGTGCAATATTTGTTTACATCAAACTACTACTACTACTACTACTACTACTACTACTACTACTACTACTACTACTACTACTACTACTACTACCTACCCGTGCTCATGCTGTTGATCACTGGATTGTCTGGTCCAGACCCGATTATTTACAGACTGCCCGCCATATTTGCTGGAATATTGCTGAGTGCCGCGTAAAACTTAGACTAACAACTAGTCTCTGAAATGATAATTTTACAGAAAAAAAGCTCAAAGTGAAAAAAAAAAAAATAATGAAAAGGAGCCCTGAAACTGTCATCATTTCGTGAAGCTGTGGAAATCTAGACTTGCTGCGCACCACACAAAATGACTGTATTGCCCACATTTACTAACGTTAGGCAATATACGTTTCATCCGGCGGCCATATGAACAACGTTGGAAATCTACGTATCATCTGGCTGTCAGATTTACACACGTTTAAAAGTGTGTTTAAATTAACGTACACTCAACTCTGTATTTACATGTATTTCAAAGGTGTGTAAATCAGGCCATTGTTTTCATGTGTTTTCTAGCATGTGTAACATATGTAAATGCTGTGATTGTAGGACATGCATTTTAATACCTTTGAAATCTCGTATGACCAGGGTTAGGTTTGCCATATATTTAGTACACGCGTAAATGGTTGGTAATGGATAAATAATGTTACAAGATTTACACTATTTTAACATGTATTTCAATGCTTCTGTCATGTAACTTTCACATATGGTTCGTTAGCGCGTCGGACCACGCCATAATGCACGGAGGTCATTAGAAACACATGGCGAAGTGATACCCATGACTGAGCACCGCTAATAACGTGCCTGCCTTTCTTGACATACACATGATGTCTGTTTAAAAGGTTCAAATATTGGGTCTGTGGGCTAGAGCGATATGTATGTTAGGGAGTGTGTGTGTGTGTGCATGTGTGTGAGAGGGAGGGGTGTTTGATGTGGCAGGCCTAGGGTGGGGTGATGGCGGTGGGGTACTGATAAGCCTTTCTGCAGCTGGTCAGTAGGTAATACAGTTTATACTTTTTGCAATGGAAATTACATTACACTTTAAATAACTGATCTTAGGTACACTTCTTATATATAACATGCAAGGAGAGACTGCTTATTGCAATAAAACACAGACAGGTGTGTTCACACAGACATGAACCGGTAGGTCCCTAATTTTAGTGCACACCTGTATAAGTTATCAGACTGATCATAGGTGCACAAATTTTATTATCTATTCTTTTGAAAATGATGATTACAATGTATTAATGATTCCCGGTGTAAATTACTGTTGTAAATGTGTAAACATGCATATACGTACTTGGTATAACCTCTCTTTTATTCGGAATCTAGATATTATCCCATACGGACGTTTTCTAAAATGTAAGTTCCCCGACGGAATATACATAAGTGTACACCTATTTTGATTCCAGTTCTAGGGTAGATTATAGAAAATTCTTGTGATTACAATTAGTTCATAAGCTTAGGTAACTACGCAGTTTCGATAATTACTGGAAGTTTACCACCTCACAGCATTTGTTACTCATGCGTTTTCATTTTCGCTTTTTGCTCTCTGATTTGTTATACATTACATAATTATGGTAATCATTTTGGCATCCCGATATCATAGAATAAATGTTTACTTATTAATCTATCAAAGTGCCAAAACTTATTGTCTGTATGTGTTACTGTTATTGAGTCAAACTGTTAAATGTACCTTCGTACAGAATTTCCAGGACATAGAAACTGAAAATTGCTAAATAAATGGAAAACTAAATTTGATAAAAATTGCAAACAATTATTATTCATATACCAGTTTTAAAGTATCAGTGTGCAGATGTTCAATGGATATTAAGACCAAGTAAATTGGAAGATTCACAGACTAACAGTATTTCTTTACAGTATTTCCTTACAGACATATATGGAAAATTATTTTTACGGGTATGGAACGAATGGGGTAAAACATCTGCAAAGCATCTGAGTCAGCTGAGATTATCCTTTAAAAACATCATATGTACATTTAACAATTACTTATCATTAATTGCAACCAAAGCATTACATAAATGCCATATTTCCAGACAGCATGACATCACCTTTGGCCGGAGTTCCAAATATTTGACATCGAAACCTGTCAGTTAACGCAAAGGAAATAACCCTTGTGTTTTACAATGATGCCTTAATCATAGTCACAATGAAGCATAGGTTGCCATGTGTTTTGCAATATGACTGAGTCAGTGAAATACTAATATTTACAAAATAAAATTAATTGTAATGAAGCCTTTCTTTAAGCAGTGACTTAACGCCATACATAGCTAGACTTGCTTAGATCATTAAAAAAAGAAAAAAAAGGGAAAAAAAACACACAATAAAAACCTAACAACTTCATGCAAGGCATCATGGATATTTCACAAACATAGTACAGGACCCTTCCCCTCATCAGCGTATTGCCTCACCACTTGCGAATTAAGCGTTCGCAGATGTAAGGCGTTAGCACTACAGTAAGGGCAGGGCGGAAGGGGAAATAATATAGTTCTGTGACTGTGAGACACTCTGGGAAAATATGTGGAAAACCAAATATTTTGGACAATAGACCATTGTTTGGGTATTTTAATTGTAAATATGATTCAAATATCTTAGCCTAAATTTCTATATCCTTACATATAATTCAAAAGTATAACAGCACGAGTATTCATTTTGTCTTTTGTCTTCTACCCGACCTTACTAGACTAACAACTAGTCTCTGAAATGAACATATTTTACAGAAAAAAAGTTCATAGTAAAAAGGAAAAATATAATAAAAAGGAGCCCTGAGACATTCTCCTGAAGCTGTGGAAATCTACACTTGCCAAATTTTTCTAGACTTGCGTGGGCTTGGATATATTTGCTTCAGGGTCTGTATGACAGACTACGTCCCTACATACGCTCAATCACATGTGTCTCCAGGTCACGGAGAATCATTGGTGCAGGGGCCCATATTGCAATTCTCGCGCGTTTGCATGTGTTGTTGACGCGGCATGGACGCCTTGTAACATAACTATTTGATTATGATTCACAAACACATGCTCATGATATGGTCGGAATCATGCCACGGATTAGCAGATATTTATCATGAAAACAGGTTTTTATGTAGGTGGCTTGAAACTTGCTTTTACAAAGGCCAATAGATTCGATCACAATACTTTTCGTTTTACAACTGCTTTTCTCTTAACATGCTGACCTCAAAACTGATTTAAATTCTAATCGCTGATTAAAGAGTAAGACAATAAATAGTATGTCAAATTATCGTTACCATGACAAACCTGTGATATTTTACCTTATGTAAGAGAGCTATAAATACGATGCTGGGTGTGGCAGTACTACTGCAGTTGATAGTGTATGTCGTAAATTTTAATAAGTTGCTTCAACGCTATCACTAATCACTGGGTATCTATACAACTATATGTGTGATGGAGAAGCACTTGCGTCGCTAGTACATCGCGCACTACCCCTTTCTCTTTTGATCTTCTCAAGCGACTGTTACAAGTTCGAAGAATCCTGGTCAAAGTTGAAAAGTATTAAGACTATTCCCTAATATTCTGTAACATACACATTGTACCTAAAATGGGTAGAGCTTCCGTTCGGGGGAATATCAGAAGGACAGCGATACATTTATCTCCAATTTTGTGCAAACACAACACAACGAGCAATTTAACACAACAGTTGTTTTATTAATAAACATTTATTTGGCACAACTTGGGAGCTGACTGATAACTGAAGAAGGGATGACCAAGAGCTAGGTTGCTGTCCTGGAACCGCTGCGCCGGCTTGGACGAAGAGGTGTGTGGAGTCGGCGGACTCTGATTGCTAAAGTGGGGTCTGCGGACCCGGTTGTAACCTGAGCTCTGGTTTAAAACTTGGGGGGATAAGGATCCAGTGTTAAGTGGGTAATTGCCCGACCCAGTGACAGTTGGGTACCAGCCCGAGGGTGGCGTGAAACCGCTGCGGCGGTTGACAATGATATCCAGTCTGCGGACATGGAATATAAGGGAGGATCTGCGGATCCTTTTGTAACCTGGGAGGGAATTACATGAAGCATCAGTCAGCTCCAATACTCTAAGCATGGAAACATGTAGCATTATAGGAGATTAAGACCAATCACTATGAAATACTACAAACATTTGACAGAATAGGAAAAACAAATTGCAGGCTGTGGAAGGGGTGTGTGTGTGTGTGTGTGTGTGTGTGTGTGTGTGTGTGTGTGGTTTAGAAATAGATCCCGTCTGCGGACATGGACTATAAAGGGAGGATCTGCGGATCCTGTTGCTAACCAGGGGGGGAATTACATGTTATGGAAGAT